CCTAGTAGTAAGGCCAGGAGCCCCTAGTAGCGTCCTTGCTCCTAGTAAGGCCAGGAGCTACTAGTAGCGTCTTCCAATCGACTTGGCATTGGGCGTCTCATTCTCTCAGTGGCAATGTGAAAAGTTTTCTGGAATCTGAGCAAGCGCATTCATCGCCTTTCAGTGGCGCTTCCTACCGTGCCGATCACCTCACCCAAAGAGGAAGGAGTCCTTGCCGTATGCTCCCCGCAGATTTGGATTGTTCTTCACAGCCTGGCCAAAGGCTGAACTAGTTGACTTGTCTTCATTCAAGGCTGCACACCTTCACGATGAACTCCAACTCAGAGCTGGCCAGGCCTCAGACCCAAAAGAGGTAGTGTGCATAGTAGGCACTACAAATTCTTGCAGGATACGTGGATCTTGACATTCCTTTTCGTTGCAAGATCTCTGCAATGAAGCTGCGACCCTTGTTGCATTGTGGTGTTCTTATACTTGCGCAAAATACAACCATCATCAACCATCCACTTTCAACATGTATGTCAGTTTTGAAAAAGGTGCAACACTGATGTTAAGTCCAATGTCATTCAAAACGGTCACAGTAAAACACCCAAAACAAAACATCATAAACAAGCTAGCTCGTGTGAAGACGTGCACATCAACACTTGCCCAAGCAAACGGCCAGCCAAAGGAAGGTCTTCGTTTTCCTAAAAACACAGCCAAGACTGCAGAATCAAACCAAGAATTGGAAACAAAGTGCTGAAGCTATGAAAATACTGGATGTGTCCTCGTCCATCACAATCAGCTTGCGCCTGAAAGATACTTGGAAAGGAAGATCAAAGGAACCACCGCCCATGCCTAGCTACTCCCCTTAGCTGCAGGGGTGGGGTAGTGGCCCGCCTGTCGCCTAGTGCACCGGGGACTGAACCCGGGTCCGACGCATGAGGGATGCGTCACCACTAGAGCAGCCCTCTCTCGGTCAGTCTTTCATAGCACACTGGCTATTCCTGACTATCCTTATGCTGCCTTCGGTCTCAGATATCACTACAGAAAATTACAGAAACAGAAGTAAGAAAAGGTCTAAAGAAAGGAAGAGCAGATAAGAGCAGCAAGGGCCTCTTGAATACGGCCCCCTCAATAGGAAGGGGGCTCAAGAGGCCCAAGACGTTGTTCCTAGTGGTAAGGCCAGGATCCCCTAATAGCGTCCTTGCTCCTAGTAGCGATGCCAGGAGCCCCTAGTAGCTTCTTGTTCCTAGTAGCGATGCCCTTTGTTACTAGTAGCTTCTTGTTTGTTCTCTCCTTTTCAAAAAAAGAACAACAACAACTTTTACCCTTGGGTCCCTCGTCTGAGTACAAAAGTGCACCTTCTTCTGAGAATGACCGAGTATCCTTGCACAGCCTTCCCTAAGCGAAGTGGCGCCTTGGCTCCACCATGATGTCTTCCATTCTGCGACCTTCGTAGATGGCTGGCCGCCTGTCCCAGCGACGTTGACAGAGGATGCGGTTTGCCAGGACAGTAGAGTTGGACAAAAATGGGAAAATGCACTGTGGCATTGTATATCAAAAGGGCAGCCTTTGCCGAATATGCACAGAGAGCACAGAACCCCAAGAGCTACTGTGTACCCTGATGCACAGCATTGAAGAATGCTTGCCCCGTGCGGACGTGTGTCCTCTTGGAAAACTTCTGCGACTGATCTAAAAGTGATGCATCTCAGATACCAGCCATTCGTTTACAAGCGATTTGTTTACATGCCTCGCAAACTTCAGCTTCTCGTGGAACCCCAACTTTTGGAAGTCCTAGCACAAGATGCCGCTCTGCCCAAACTCTCTCCTAGTAGCACCTCTGGCAAGGCAGCCCTCCACTTGAGAGTTCAGTCTACAGTACTTGTTGGAATTTCCTCCGTGTGAATTGATGAACGGACACACGATTCAATGAAAAAACGGACGCACCTCCCGCGATAGCGTCAGTAGCTCCAAAGGCTGAGCTCCCTTCCTAACGGACGACGATCAAAAGGGCGGTGTGAGGTCATGTTTCGAACCCGAGAACGAGAACTACTAAGTTTTCAGATTCAGATCCAGCAACCAATGTGCTATGTAGATCTAGAGTTGGAGTACAGCTTCTCACTAACTTGTAGCATATAGTTTAGAGAAAATACTAATAGAGAACTACCATAGTATACTATAGAGTATAGGCACCGCTTGTCACTATATAGTATATAGCTTTCTTTGGAGAAAGTAGAAGCATGGCCGATCGATCAGAGCGCAGCAGCCAAGGCACGCCACAATTGTGGCAACGTTGGGTCGCTTCTCTATTAGCCTTGGTCGCTGGTCACAGAGTTGCAACATGTTGTGCCAACGGGGGGGGGGTTAGCCCCGCCGGCAACATATATCCGATCGGTCTTTCAGGGTGGGGGGGGGTTGGGGTCAGCTTCGTCCGTGTTACTACTCGCGTACATCGACTTTGACGTTGACTTGTTGACTCGGTGACCTTTCGTTCGCTCGGTGACCGCTTTTCTTGGCTTAGAGGACGACGTTCGAGGTTTGTTTTAACACTGCGTAGAATGAGTTTTCTTGGCCGCTGCGATGCAAAGCTGCAACGACAGTACGTTGAAGGCCTCGCAGCGTTGTGGTTCCGCCAACATCCAGGGTTGGACTCAATGCTCGAGGCTGTCAGAATACATAGAGAAGCTGTGCAAGACACTTGTCCACCAGCTCAAATGTACAGTGAGCTCAAATGGCTCAATTGGGAACAAGACTTATGTCTGGCGGCTGAACAATGAGCCTTGGCAGGCTGTACATGGAGCAGGCGGGTGAGTTGGGTCCGTCAAAACGCCTTCAACTTATCGTCTTGCAACTCGTGAGTTGCAAGACGATAAGTTGAGTGTCCGGAAAGCCACGAAGCCCTGTAAAACACATGGTTTTTCACCCTCGGTGTGTTGCGTTCGGGGCTAACCCCCCCCCCGTTTACCCAACATGTTGTGTGCGAAGTAGTCCTAACTCCCCGGTTTCGGAAATCTGGGCTCCTAACGTTCGGCCACCGAAGTAGTCATAGTTGTACAAGGTTGCACACTCGAACCTCACGTCAAATATGTTGGTCCTTCGGTCCTTCGCCTGTGATATTCGTGTTCTAAGCAGCCAGCTCGGCACCTGTTTCGTCCTCTCTAATGACCTTGGACAAGGCGTGGACCCCAGTCGAAACGCTTTTGCCTTTAGCTCAAAGAGACTAACTTCGACAATTATCAAGCATCCAAAGCTTCTACTTAAATATTGTTCCTGCATGCATCTGCGTACTCGTCCGGTCAATGAAGTCATGATCGGTGCCCCGGCAGATGCCTCACCGGCCTGCTCGGTCAACTACTCGAGACATGTTCTCAACGAAGCTGATTTAGCTGTTGGCTTCGTGAATCCAAGAGGAGTTTTAAAAAAGCCATCAACCTACTAGCGATGGCCCCAACCTACTAGCTTCTTTCTAAATCCAAGAGGAGTTTCAAACCAGCGATTAACACTTCGTGTCTCATCCCAGCCTTGATGATAAAAAAGCTCTGTCCTTCTCGACCAGCCTCGATGACACGCTCCTGGCATGTCTGTGCTTCAAGGCAAGTCTGTTTTGCAAATTGCAGATTGGTGCACGCCTCAATTTTGCATCTTCTTTCGAAAGCAAATATCACTTGAAATTTGTGAGACTTCCTCTTGCTTCTAGGATTCACATATAAATCACGTGTGAAGCAAGAGGAATTCTTACAATCTAATCTGAATCATCTTCCCACAATGTGAGTTGAAAGCAAGAATCAAGTAACACGCACAGCCATCTCAGAAGAACAATTGCTTGAACAAAAGCAGCATTCTTGTTGGCCAAAGCGGGCCAGAGCGGACACCAGGCTCGAAAGAAACTGATTTGAGAGCCGCAGCAACCTCCAAAGCTCACAAATTGGACAGAATGATTGCCCGTCGTTCAACAAGTGCACTTTCCAAAGACTTTGAAGGCTGGAGAGATTTGATCTTTGCAGCAACTGCAAAGTGTGTTTGCAGGCGCCGTTGATTTAAAAGCTCGAAGCAAATGTTTAAAATTAACCCCAAACAGCTGGGACAACAAGGAAACATTCCCAAGTCCACTTTTTGAGACATCAACAAGAAAGAAGACAAGAAGGGAACGGAGACAAGAAGGGAGACGAAGGGAGACAAAAGGAGACGGAAGGGAGACAAGGCGGACACAATGACCAACAAAGGGAGACAAGACCGAAGACAAAGGGAGACAGAAGGGAGACAAGGCGGACAAAGTGACCAACAAGAAGGGAGACAAGGCGGACACAGTGACCAACAAGAAGGAAGACAAAGGGAGACAAGCCGGACGGAAGGCGGACACGCTGTCCCGCAGCAAGGCGGACACTCTTAGAAAAGCCTTGAGAACCGCTAACAGTAACCTGTTTGGGGAAGTACAGAAATCACCTGGGAAACAAATGAACAGACATGCTGGAAAGGGGAAAAGGGCGGATGCCAGCAGTGCAGGCACCGAACCTGGGAGACAAAAGTAAAGAAATCACTTTTGAGGCAAATGAATTGACATGCTGCATGGCCAGCGGAAAAGGGCGGACACCAGCAGTGACAGACCTTGGAAAAGCGCGGACACCAGCAGCGACAGACAGGAGACAAATGAATACAGTGACAGACCTCGGAGACAAATGAATAGAAGTGCTACATGGCCAGCGGAAAAGGGCGGACACCGGCAGCGACAGACCTGGGAGACAAACGCACAGAAGTGCTACATGGTCAGCGGAAAAGGGCGGACACCACCAGTGACAGACCTGGGAGACAAATGAATAGAAATGCTGCATGGCCAACGGAAAAGGGCACCAGCAGTGACAGACCTGGGAAACAAATGAATAGAAATGCTACATGGCCAGCGGACACCAGCGGTGACACAAAGGGCGGACACATCTTAAGAAAGAATTGAGAACCCCTAACAGTAAACTGTTTGGGGAATTATCTTGCATGCGAGTGGATCTTAATCAGCGAAGTTTGAAGCTATCACTGACGGTCCATAAGCGGCGTAGCGTCGGAACGGAAACCGCACCTTTTCTAGTCGCTTGATCCTTGAGCCAAAGTACATATGGTACATATATATGTACAAGTTGCACTGTACGTGTCGCTGCACTTCCATTCGCACCCCCCATGTGAACGGCAACAATATGTTCCGATCACACACGAAAATTTAGGGATGTAAGTGCTACAAAAGAAATTGTATGATTTGCCGCGAGACTCATATGAGGCTCATACTACGAAACATGCTGGACTAAAGCGGACTTTTACATATAAAGTGTGCAACTATGGCTCAGAACCTATGAAAATCGAATTGAACAAGTGAGACATTCACGAGGCCTCGCTCAGTATCCACTCAAAAGAGCATCGCTTTGATGTAGATCCGAACTGGTGACTTCCACGTAGATGTCACATCGGCAACTGACTTCACACTTCTCAAAAGATGTAGGTTTTGGTTTGGATACACTTACAGAACGGCAAGTCGGAGAGACAGTCGGTGATTGTCTTCCTTCCATTATGCTCATGGTATCAAATCGTCAATCCGAATTTGCAACGATACACTTACAGCGTTTCAGGTCAGATAAACATCCGGTGAATGATTTCCTCCCTGGTTTGCATGGTATCCTCATAGTCGTTCAAAGAAATCACCACTGGCGATAACTTCTCCATCCACGATGATCCCAGCTGCCCTGAGCATCCCGCCGATCATCTTCTCCCTTCTTGGACTTTCCCTTGGACTTGCTCTTTCCCTTCCCCTTTTCAGAAGGTTGAGGTACTTCGCGACGTTCTTGCGTTAGCGCCGGCCTCCAAGATGTCCCAGATTGGCCTCCTCCTTTGGAATGTCCTCGGGATGATGAAGAAGTTGTACCTTCTGCTGCATGTGCGTTGGCGGCAAGATCTTCCTGCAAAGCTTGCTCAAACACATCGGTAGCACTGGATGGTGATTTATCATGTGGTCTGGCTTTTGGAGCAGCCTTCGCCTTGTTCTCCTCTGCTGATGAGGGCCCGAAACTCTTAGGTGCTGTTGAAGGTTTTGGCTCCTCACTTGGTGCTGACGACGGCTTGGCCTCGGTTCTGGGTGTAGATGCTGGCTTTGCCTCAGCTCTTGACGAAGATGCTGCTTTCGCTTCAGACTTAATCGTTGATGTTGACTTAGCTGTTGCCTTGGCTGCCTGCTTCTTCTTGCCCTGAATCTCCTTGGCCCTATCTCCAAAGCCTAGACGATTGGTAAGAGCTTGAACATGCTTATGTTCTACCACGCTCATCCATCTCTCTGTATGTCCAACGTTGGGGTTTCTGGCCATTGACTCTATGACTTCCTGAGCTTGTGGGGGCAACCTGATCTCATGTTGATCAATGATCAACAGAATAGACTTCTCCCACTTGCTCTTCATTCTCGAGTACATGATGTCCAGAGGATCGATCACCTTGTGGTAGGGTGATGTAACGTCGGTTCTAAAGTAAGAATATGTCCGACACCCATAAATCGCATGGATGCACTTCTGTACCAATTCAGTCATTGCGCTGGCTTTCTTCGCTTTCAACTCCTCAAGCTGGGCATCAGTCAAGTTGGTGGGGTATTCGAAGTTGCCATATTCCTTCTTGAAGGATTGCGGAGTATGACCAAATGATAGGATCACGAGTGCCACCTTGCAAATGAATTGTTCTCCTCTGAATCGGTGCCAGGCCTCCTCAGTTGTAATATTGTTGTCGTTGGCAAAGATTAACATCATATCATCTGTTGGATCCAATGGTCTCCCATCGTCATCGATTTCAGTGGAATCCCCTGTACCGAACTTGCTTATCACATCCAGTCGCTTCCTTTTCCAATTTGCTTTGAAGTCGGTAAGGCTGGTGCAATAGTAGCTCTTGTACATCAGGGAGATCATGTTCAGCACACATTTGACCACATACCTATCCATCAAACCCGATGCATTCATGGAGACGTCCTGACAGTAGGCTCTCTCTTGATGCGCATAGATTCGAGGTTCCGGTACTCGACAATAGATGGGGAGATCTTCGTTGTCTCTTCCTTCTTCGGGATTGAACTCGGTCGCTCCATGCTGTGCATAGTATCCCGGTTCATCACGATCTGTCGGTCGATTCGCCTCCGGATGTAAGTCGTCGGTGACGTCTTCATCCTCGGGTTCACCATCTTGACGTTTCTTCCCCTCATATTGTTGTGTGCTCCTCTGGATCTCGATGATCACGTTTCGTTCGTCTTCATCTTCTAGATCAGAATCACGACCGTAGTCGATCTCGTCCTCATTGAAAGATGGGGTCTCGACATTGTCACTCTTGAAGTTTTCTGCACCATCAGACGGTTTGGAAGGATCTAGATTGTCCATGTCCTCGTCGTCATCAGCTGCTTCAGTTTGAGCGATGTCTTCTTCCCAAGCCTTTCTGATCTCGTCCATAGTGGCCTGGTCCAAGATATCTTGATCATCATCTTCAGGCTCCTTCTCTTCCTTCTTTTCCTCTTCATCGTCGCTCACAAGATCAACGGGTGAATCGGAAATGACAGTGTTGCGAATACCACACGAGAGTAGCCTGCCTTGACAAGATAGACACACGGACAAAGATGAAGAAGTCAAATGCATACATGATGGGCACAAAATATTGCCATCCACGTTGCGATACCCTTCACATGTTCTGGAGATGATTTCGTCCCAAGTTTCCTCACTGACGGAATCCTCGATCAGCTCTCCATTGCCATCGAATTGTACTTCATCGATAAGGGACACGAGCTTTTGGACGTTGTCATCTGTCGCCGAGGCTGACTTCGTGACTTCGTCGGCTCTCTCGAGGATGGTATGCTTCTGAGCAACCCAAAGTCCATGATGTGCCGCTAGAACAACTTGCTCTCCAGTGCTTCCCAGCAGGAGTCTCCTCCATGCCTGAACGTAGTCGTCCCAATACCAAGCACCTCGTACACATCTCCATGGAACTTCTCTAAAAACAACAGTGTAGGAATTCTCCGAAATTCTTCCCCCAAGCTTCCTCAAAGTCATGATTGGAACATAAAGGCAAACGGGCATTCCCACTCTTGGCCATCTTGATCTCAGAATCTTTGATGATCGATCATCCCACGGCGCAAAGTGGTTGAAGAAAACACTACCTCTATATCCCTCCGTTCCACCAGGGACAATTCCTAGTTTCATGATTGACTCAATATTGGAAAGCGATGTCATGTGAAAGCTTCCTCCAAGCTGCATTGCCACATTCTCTGGAATGAGATGTGAAGTCCACACAGGATATATTGACACATCCTCTTCAAGAACAGTCTCTCTTCCAGAATTGTGAGAGGCAACAGCTCGAATTGCACAAGGAACGATCCAACGTTCATGCTTCAGAAATGACGGTGCATCTGTGCTGTAATACATGAGGTTTGCCCAGTATTGCCTTTCCTCTTCGAGTGAGACATCCTCCCTTGAGATACGAATGGCGGCAATCTGATAGCGTACTCTGTTCTGCAACTTCTTTGCATGCCACATCGCCTTGCATAAATCCTGGTATCGCTCTGTCTTGACATTTTGCTCACGTTGATCATCTGAGATAGTACTGATATCGACACCATCGTTGAAGACATGGTCATATTCCAGGATCTCATCGATGTTCACCCATCCACCCTCATTGCACTTCGGGGACACATGAGGTTTTCGACCGCGGTGCGATTGAATCCCATTACGCTTTCCCACTCCATGCCTGAGTAGTCTATTGAGTCTATGGCTAACCTCGTTGACCCGCTGACTCTCCTCGCTGAACTTGTCGATGCGAGTTGCTGGGTTCATCTTTGGTGGATCCGTGAAAGTTGCATCTCTCTTCGGTCCATTCCAGTACTCCACATAGAATGTAACTCCATACTGTGGAATTAT